GCTGGATATGGGCACCAGTGACCCACGCGACCCTGAAAAGGAAGAAGCGTGTACAGAAAATGGATGGATGGATGGATAAAATGAATAATCTGAAAATCCTGAAATAGATTATTTTATTTAATGTCATTTGGAGATTTAAACACAGCTGTTAATTTTTTAATAAAACAAAATGTCTTTTTTACACAGACAATATGAGAAATAAGTGAACAGTGGTAAAAATATCACTTTATTTGATTAAACGGTAACTTCAAAATTAACATTTATTTTCCAGCGTAGCATAAAACTGTACATGTTAGTATTTCACACTTTGTTTCCACATGATGTCTCAAAGGGACACTTTGGTTTTTGTTAAATAGGAATTTATGTAATCTAATTTTTTACTTTGTGTCTCTTTTGTATGAGACAAATGTTTTCAAGAAGTCCTGGTTATACGAGGGGAATGTTGAACTRTTCTCTCTGAAAGTTTCTTGTCCCCTCACTGTGAGCCCTGTCCTCCTCCCAGCCTGTAGACTGGGACAAAACCCTGGCTTCCCTGGACGTGGACAGAAGTGTGGCAGAGACGGAGTGGGCTAAACCTGGCACCCAAGCAGGACTGGACATGTTGAAGTCCTTCATCGATGATCGTCTCAAACTGTTCTCCACCCACAGAAATGACCCGAACGTGGCGGCCCTCAGCCAGCTGTCCCCGTGGATCCGCTTCGGTCAGTACCAGCTTAAAGAACCRCTTCCAGGTGTGCGGTTTGTTCCATCAGACGAGACACCTCCGTGCTTCTGGCATCCTGCTGGTTTCAGAGGGACGCAGATAAATTAATCAAATTACAACAGTMTCTCCTCTGATGTGAGACTCCATCATGTAAAATCTGAGTGTCAGATTTCTACAGAACTGTTAACATAATGAAAAACATTTCATTTAATGTTCCCCAAACCAGATTTTAGACATATTAAACAGACTGTCACTTCAGGGCTTCAGTTCCAGTGAACTGTTAGCTCCCTCTCAGATCACGTTTATTCTTTCTGGGTCTTTGTGAATTATAACTGTCGTCGCATGATTTACCAAGAATGCAGAAACACGTTGGAATAATGCACAGAAAGTCGTGTGTGTATGGTCGTAAATAATGATTTAATTCTGAGCGACAAGCAAACAGGACTCAGTCAGGAAGCTCTGTCGGCCTGTCGCTCAGAATTAAATCATTATTTACGACCATACACACAGACTTTCTGTGCATTATTCCAACGTGTTTCTGCATTCTTGGTAAATCATGCGATGACAGAATTTGGCGTTGTCGGCAGGATGTCATGAATAACTGGCTTAAACATAAAAGTATTAGTTCCACCACACTTTATTATACTATATTACAGTAAAACTTTGTCATTTGGGCAGAAGTGAAAAGCTCATGTTAGCACACTTAGTCTTTGTTTCAGTAAGACTGATTACTCAGGTGGTTCACATTTTCCTGTCGTTCCAGTCAAACCACAAAAATAATGTTTAATGTTTAAAGTGGACCTTCCCCSCACCTGTGAAAGGATAACTCCGCCCCAAGGCAAATTTGAAAGATGCCTAGTGCCAGGAGACTCTAAGGCGGGGTCAGCGAGGAGGTGTGGTCAGGAGGAGAGAGAGTTTTTTTAAGACAAGATAGAGTGTTATTACACAGAGTGTTATTACACAGAGTGTTATTACACAGAGTGTTATTA